GGGCGCGGCTCGGGGGTCGCGGGGCCGCGGCCGGGGCGGCGGGAGGGGGTTTGTTTACATGTCGCCTCACCCTAGCTTGAAAGGGCCGCTGGGCGGGTGAGCGGCGGGCTCGGCGGCCAATGGGAGCGCGCGCGGCGGGGCAGCCAGCCAATGAGCGGGCGCGGAGGGCGGGGCGGCGGCGGCCGGGGTAGGCTGCGCTGGGCGGCGGGGCGGCCATGTTGGCCGGAGGTGTGTTAGTGGGTCAGGGCCGGGCCGGGGGACAGCGGGGGGACGCGGGCACCGCGCGGGGCCGAGGCCGCGGTGCCCACCCGCGGTGCCCGTCCCTCCGCAGCGCTTTGCCTCAGGGGGGCTGTCCCACCTAAGCGTCGGGAGCGGCCCGGGGCGGTGCCCGCGCACAGGGGGTCCCGTTCCCCGCGCTCAGGGCAGGACGGGGCGCGTTGCCGTGTCCTGCTCCCGGCCCGGCCCCGCACATTTGGGTTCTAAAACATCCGAGAATTCCCCGGGCCGCCTCAGGAGCAGCCCGCGGGTCTCAGCGTGTCCCCACGCGGCTGTCGGACACCTCTCCGTGTCTGCTCTAAGCTCACGCCTGTTCCTAGCCGGGAACACCTCGATTAAAGCCCCTTGTGCCACCGAGGACTCAAAGGCAATCTTTATTATTTACCTTTGTCCCCACACGGCTGTCATTCCCCACCCGTGCCCTCCCTGCTCCCTGGCAGCCCACGGCATTTCTCAGGGCAGCGGCTGCTGCAGGGGATCCGGTGTCCGGGCTGATTCCCTGTCCGGGATTATTCCCTGTCTCACTCGGTGTAAAACCCACGGTGTTTATCGAGCCTTCCCCTGCAACAGGCTGGAGCTTGGAGCACTCAGCGCTGCCAGCCGAAATGTGCGATTCTCACTTAAAGCGATCGTGATCTTTCTGTCGCTGCCACTCCGGGGGTAACTTGTTGAAATCATGCTCCACATAACAGGCAGAACTGAATCAGATACTCCTATTGGCTTTAAACACTTCTAAATGTATTAAAGATTGTGTGTAAAAGGCCTCTAAGGTCGCTTCTGAGCATCCTTGTGGGGAAGGTTAATTATGATTATCATTAAATGTGTTTTCATAGTAAAACTTAGAGAGAGGCAGATTCTTTAGAAATGTGGTCGATTTCTATTGTTGGCTCCTTAAGTGAGAAATCAGAATTTCTATGGAAAATAAATCATAGAATCGCCGAATGGTTTATACTGGAAGGGACCTTATGGATTATTTAATTTCAGCCCCCTGCCGTGGGCAGGGACACTTTCCACTATCCCAGGCTGCTCCAAGCCCTGTCCAACCTGGCTTTTGGGATCCAGGGGCAGCCACAGCTGCTCTGGGTGTGATCATTCTGCAAGAAACCTTTCCTGCTAAAATAATCTCAGTGAGATTCCTTTCTAAATGCATAAATAACAGTAGCTCAGAGACCTCAGACATGTCCATAGCCAATAGTTCACCTGAGCCCAGAAGGAATTATTCTGAATTGATGAGAGTGTTCCTGCAGCAGAGGCACCAGGCCCCCTGAACAACCTCCCCAGGTGGTTTTTAAATAATGAGAGAGGCAAACAGCCTGTGAAGGACAGAGATTGAAGTCAGCATTAGCAGGAATTAATTGGAGAGAAACAGAAGCTTTTCCCACTAATAGACTGATGGGATAAATAAGGGAACTCACGGGTTTACATTCCCATGGCCTGTGTGTCTCTGCTCTGTGATTTGGGAAGTTCAGCTGAATATTTTAACATCAAACCTTGATCAGGAGATTTGGCACTGCATAAGAAGTAGTTGAGAGTCAGCATTGGCATGAAAGTTAAACCAAAAGTTTTGTTAAAATTGTAAATTTAAGGTTTAGATCTTGCTATAAAAATCTTCCTGATTGGTTTTTTTAAATCCTTCTGGTTTTAAACTCTTAAGTCATGGGGTTTTTTTTTTACTTTTTGGACAATTTTGACTTACGTGTTTTTCGAATTTGGTGCTGGCTTTGAAGTATTCGGTACAGATACCCCATTTCTAAATTTCTGTGTAAGAGTATAACAATTGTAATTTCACAGTACGAAGAGTAGACCAGACTGTACCGTTCCCTTCATCATAAGACTTGTGTTGCTTTTTGTTTTTTCTTGGAAACTACAGAATTAATTTTTCTCTTAGTCTGAAAGACTCTGTCAGAAAAAAAATATAAGAACAGCCATCCTGTCAGGATGTAGAATATTGCTGGAGATTGGAAGTTGAATTGTTGTTTAATTTTGGTTTTGTTTTTTGCCTTTGCTTTCACCCCACTCTGATTCAGGGGAAAACTACAGCTTAAAAAAAAATTAAATGTTAGTTTTACTACTAATTCTCATATGCAAACAACTCTCCTAACTCTGCAGTGTTATTTTAATAAGGTTTATACTATGACTATTTTAAATTTAACCATTTTTAAAAATGAATTTTAAGTCTGTTAATATAGTTCTAATAAGTTTAACGTGCTGCACATCCCACTCTTGGCACTAAAATAAGAATAAAATCTCAGTCTTTGTTGCAGAACATAGAGAAAAGTGCTTCTAGTAGGAATATATTAATATGAGCATACTTGTTACAAAATATGTAACAGCTGAATGTTTGTTAGTATAAAAAGTAATCACTTGTTTTTGCTTCTGCCTCTTGCCTGACGGTCAATATCAGTGCAGGCTGGGGTACAAACACAGGCTGGGACAGATGCACAGATGGAGCAGCCCTGGGAGAAGGGTCTGGGGGTGCTGCTGGCCAAGAGCTGGACCTGCCTTGGCCCCAGGAGCCCCCCGTGCCTGGGCTGGTCCCCAGTGGGCAGCAGGAAGGGGCTGGCATTGTGCCCTGTGCCCCCCAGGTGAGACCCCACCTGCAGAGCTGCCCCAGCCCTGGAAGGAGCTGGAGCTGCTGGAGAGAGCCCAGAGGAGGCACCAGGGGGTCAGAGGGATGGAGCAGCTCTGCTGGGAGAGCTGGGATTGTTCATCTGGGCAGGAGGAGCTTTGGGGTGACACAGCTGTGGCCTGAAGGGAACCTGCAGGACAGATGGAGAGAGACAATTTACAAGTGACAGGACAAGGGGGAATGGCTTCACACTGACAGAGGGTGAGGTTAGATGGGATAGTGGGAAGGAATCCTTCCCTGTGAGGGTGGGCAGGCCCTGGCACGGTGCCCAGAGCAGCTGTGGCTGCCCCTGGATCCCTGGCAGTGCCCAAGGCCAGGCTGGACAGGGCTGGGAGCAGCCTGGGACAGTGGGAGGTGTCCCTGCCACGGCAGGGGAGTGGAACCAGATGATTTTTAATCTCCCAGCCCAAACCATTCTGTGACTCTGGGATTCCATCAGTTTCTGGGATCTGCTGTTTGCTGACACAGCTGGGGCACCCCCAGAGCTGGGAGCTGGCGTTGGCATGGGGGGTCCCTGAGTTCTGTGCTCTTCTGGGGCTCTGCTGCCCGGGGCGGTGGGTGTGTGGTTGCAGACCAGAGCTTCTCTTTAGAGCTGTCACTTCCAGGTCTTGAAGTCTGTCTGCTGTGGGCGAGTAGGATTGGAAAAATACCCCTGGAGGGGGAAGGGATGGTCAGTGGAGGAACAGGAACAGAGACAGTGAAGTAACAGTTTCCCTCTCCTGAAGGGAAGAGGCTTAGAAGAAGTGAAACAGTCTGAGTATCTTTAGTTCTTTTAAGTGGCAAAGCTCCATCAGACTCAGGGTCTGGGGGTTTTAAGCAGGTATTGTTTTCTCTCCAAGACAAAAAAGAGCATAATGCCTTAGATGCTGGCATTTTAATAGGAATCCTTCATCAACAAGAGGGACTTGGCTGCTTTTGTGAGTCCAGGAATGAGACTGCAGTGCGTGGAAATATATGAAGACATTTTAAGAGTGTCTTTGCTCACTGCTATGAAATAATAACACTAATAAACTTAGAGTCTTTGTGGTGGGGGAGAAAAGTAAAAGAATTTTTTTAAGTCTGGATAATCATTGAAGAATCATGTAAAAAGAAAAAAAAAAAGGAACATTATTCAGAAACAAAAGTAAGAAACATAAACATTCATTGAGGTTGCAGAAGTTCTTCAAAGCCATCAAGTCCAACCTGGGAGTGATTCCCACCTTCTCAACCAGAGCAGAGCCTGGAGTGCCATTTCCAGATGTTCCCTGGACACCACCCTGGGCAGTCTGCACGTTCTCAGCTTGAAGACTGCCCTGAGCAGAGGGTGTTCTGTAACAGAAAACAAGTTGGCACAAACTGTGGAAGGAAAAAAATGTTTTTAAGAAACGTGCAGGGGAATTTCTTGCATGTCTAACTGCAGTATTTAATAAAATGTCCAGATATCACAAACAGTGCAAAGTACGTAATGGTTCCTTCCAAGCACATGGTGTAGTTTTTGTGCTTTCTCTGAAATTCATAGTTGGCCATGAATGTTTCAGCCTGAGCTTTCAGGTTTAGTACTGGCAGGCTCTCGTGAGCTATTTTTTTATACCTGCATCAAAATTGTGACTTTGACAAGCTGTGCTGTGTGATGCAGTCACCATCATGAAAGTGTAATTGTTCCTGTAATGCACTTACAGCAGGCATTTAGCTGCTGGGATAATGAGCACTGTGCAGCCAACAAAACAGCACAGCCAGGCTCCATGTGCCTTTCCAGTGGTACAGAATACACAGCTGAACTGGGCCAGAAATAGCAGCTTTGCTTACAGCCACGGTACAAATGATTCATGCAGGTGACCGAGGAAGACTTTCAGAGGTGTTAAGCTAAAAGCTGAATTTTGGGGTTTTCTCTTCGAGGGGCTTCTTTGGAGGTGCTGTGCTGTGGCAGGAGGGTGTTCTAGTGGCCCAAGATGCAGCACATGCACAGGAGCTGCACTGTGTCCCTACATGCTGCATGTTTGGAGTTCAGCTCCTGCTGCAGGCTGGGTTACACCAGGAATCCCAGCTAATGCACCTGCTGCTCCCCTGTGGGAAATTCAGTCTTCCTGAGCATCCTGGAAACACTGTTCCTCTTCAGAAGGTAAATATTAAATACAGGGGATCATTTTTAATTAGAATTTGTCATTAGATTAATTAGATGTTAACTCTATAGAACAGGCTTTGGTTCCTTGTTGATGGCTGATGGGATTTTAACCAATGTACATGTGCATGCCTCCATCAGTAGCCCAGATTCGTAAATGTTAGAGGGACACAGCTGTTCCTGAGATCACAGAATCATGGAATGGTTTGGGCTGGATGGGACCTTAAATATTATTTCATTTTAACCCCCTGCCATGGGCAGGGACACTTTCCACTGTCCCAGCTTGCTCCAAGCCCCATCCAGCCTAGCCTGGAACACTTTAATGGATCCAGGGGCAGCCACAGCTGCTCTGGGAACCCTGTGCCAGGGCCTGCCCACCCTCACAGGGAGGAATTCCTTCCCAATATCCCATCTAACCCTACTCTCTGTCAGTTTGGAGCCATTCTCCTTGTCCTGTCACCCCATTCCTTGTAGAGTCCCTCTCCACGTGTGTCCCAGGCTCCCCTCAGGTGTCCTGCCCTTCCTCAGGCCCCAGTGAAGGCAGGAGCCTCCTCCCAGGAGCAGAGCTGGGCACTGATGTGACTCCAGACCTGCAGACACAGAACCAGCTCCGGGCCAGGCTCCTTAATCACCTTAATCTGATTTCCCTGCAGGCTGTTTGCTGCCAGAGGAGCAGCACCCTGCCCGCTGCTTCGGGCTCTGTATTCCACCTGTGTCTGCATTTGGGAAGGCATTAATGGAAATTGTCCTGAAGTAGAAATTCCTGCTATATTTATCTTCAGTAATTCTTCGTGCTGCTGTACTTGAGCTCTGCCACAGCTCTTTTAGTTCATTCAGAGCTGCATTCATTATAGATAACACAACAGCTGGACTATTCTTTTCTAACTCAGTCTTGGGCTGAAAGTGCCACTAATGATAAATTCTGTAAGAATGGGACTTTAACTGCAGTCTGCAAATTACTTTCCTTCACAGCAAGTTCCAGTTTGACACCTGTGCTCCCGTATGTGTCATTGACTTGTGCCATACATCTTTATTTACCAGTTCATGAAGAAACACTGGTAGTTAGGTGTAAACAGCAGGAGGCTTTTAACGGTGACCTTGATCTTTGTGGGAAATTTGGAAAGCAGTTGGAAGCAGGGCTGCTTTTTGGGAGCATGAAGGATATCTGGATTGTGCAGCTCCCTGAGGCAATGTCTTTCTTTTCATGGCCTCACTGTGTTTTCCTCCTCCACAGAGCGGCTAAGAAAAATCCTGCCTTGTGGAATAGTTGACTAGATCCTACTGGGATTCAAGTCACATTTAAATATTAATATTATAAAATATAAAAAATGAAATCTAAAGAGAATTACAGGAATAATTGGGTCAGCTGATACACTGCTGTGACCTGAGAGGTCATGCACTGGCATTCTTAAATAGTGCAAGAAGTTTATCACTCCAGTCTTGGAGATAGTAAAAGTATTCTGAGCCTTTAATGTTTGTTTGAAGCATTTGGAAGTGATCCAAAAGCTGGCACCTGGAAGTGGTGGTTGGTTGTTACTGAAATCAGTGTCAGTAGAGATGAAGTTTCACCCCCTTTGCTGGCTGTGTGTGGAACGGCTTGAGGCCCGTGTTCTGACAAAAAACACAACAAAGAATAGCCAGTGAAGAAGCAGCAAATATTTCCTTTCTTTGCCCTTTGTATCATGGAGAACTCTGGCAGTCTCCTTGTGAATGCAGGAGGTGCTTTGGTGGTGATGCCAAAGCATTCATCTGATGTGCTGATGAAAAAGGCATCAATCTGCATGGAAAGAAAGTGTTCAGGTGTTTAGAATCATAACCTTGCCTCTCCCTTTGTGTCTGAGAACATCCCTGTGTTTGTTTTGAAGAACAGACCCCTTCTCCTAGCCCAGGTGAAGTGACTCAGTCATTCCTGCCCCGTCCCCACCTGGGAAGGACCATCCTGCTGTGGTGTGGCCTTTGTGGGTGAAGGGAGACGGGGCTTGCTGAGGCACAAACTTCACTTGAAATGTCACTTTTAAATAAATCAAGGGTTCCCTGGAGGTTTTGGAGCAGAAAGGAGCTTTTCTCCCAAGGAACTGGCTCGTTCACCACAGGGCCCTGTGAGGGGTAGCAAGGGTTCAGCTGAGAACTCCTGTGGAACTGGACCTGGAACTGTTGTTCTTTATATTCCAGCTGCTCTTTGCAAAGCAGGCTGTTTTGATAAGTAAAAGCTTCTTTGCATAGTGTCTGTTTTTACCACAGTCTGATAGTCCATATGCTAAAGAGGACAAACTAGCTGAGATACCATCTGAAAGTGGGAATAATCACGGGGATGCTGTCATGTGCTGCTGGGGGAGGGTTCTGAGCTGTGGGAGAACACTTAGAGTTTACTATTTGTTTTTCAAAAGAGGAGAATAAACACAGCCTGAGCAGATTGCACCAAAGTCTGACTTGGGAGCAATGCTGAGTGAGGGTTTTCCTTACACTGTTCAAAATGCTGGGTTAAGCTCCGAAGAGTCATTAGACAAACATCTGAAGTAGAGCAGGTCTGCAGGAACTCCTAAACTGGTAACACTACCAGTAGATAAATTGGTCCAATTTCAACATATGCCTTAGTTGAATTAATAGAGAAGATATTTTATTAGACAGCTGTGAGCTTGGCAGTTTTTAATTTGTTCTCTTGGGGAAACCTGTCTCTTCTGCTCTGCTGCTGGATGGTTTCTGTGATCCTCTACCACTAGATGTTGCTGTGTGAGTGATTGATGTAATCTTATCTGATGCTGAATGGATTCATCCCTGAAGAAAAGGAGGAGATACCACTGAAACAGCATTTCTGCCTGTTTTGAAATTTGTATTTTGAGACTTCTGCCTGAGACATTTTTAGAGTTTATTGGCTCTGTTACATTAGTCATAAAGGTTGTCTCTCTCCTGGATACCCAGCAGTGTGCTGATTATTGTTCCCAATTTGGCAGGTTTTCTCTTCAGGTGTGTCTATAGAGCTGCTGCTCTCAGCAGAGAGGAGCAAAGGCAACAAAATGTAACTTGGCCAAAAATGTTTTTGCAGCAACTCTGTTCCTTAGCATCTGTAGCTTTTCATTCAATGAAAGATGCCAGGGGAAGAAAATTTCTATACATTCCAGAATGAGAAAAAAATCAACTTTCAGGGGAAATTCTTGCCTTTGGCTGTTTTTTAAGCTTTCACCTTGTTGGTGAAGGATTACTCACCTCCTTGGGGGTTTGCTGTGTTTATTCTGCACAGAAGTCGACAAATAGAAAAGCTCCATCAGGGTGAACTGAAGTTATCCTAAGGAAAAATTTCATTGCATGGATGGTGTAAACTCCCTGAGACTGAAGTAAAGCTGGAAAGGAATCTACAAGTGAATAAAACAAGAAGTTTGGAATTGGATTTGGGGAATCTGGGCTTGGAAATGCCTCAGGTAAGTCTGCTAGGATTTTATTTGCTTCTGTAAATATTTTTGCCTCTGTTTAAGAACATATCTGACCAGCACTAGGAGGGAAGATGTGTAGGAGATGAAAGGATATATATTTTGTAGGGTCCCTGTAGTGTGTGTGGTAGAAGCTGTGGTGCTGCTCTTGGTCCTGTGTTTGTTCAAGCTTCAGCCACGTTGTCTGTGGGTGAGGGAGGATGCCTGGAGAGCAGAACAGCCTTTTATTACTGCAGTGATTCACACTCAGCACACTGAATGACTTTCAGCAGCACAGTGTCTCTGCCTTCCCAACCCTCAGGGTGAGAGCGTCTAGAAGAGAAATTGAGGTCTGGAATTAAATGGGCCTTGCTGCCCATTCCCTGCATGCCCAGTCATCCTGCATAATGCTTTTTTTGCCAAATTTCACTTCGTTCTTGAGAGAGAGGTAACAATCTAGATTTGGTTGTCATAAATTTTGCTTTCCTTACAATTTTATATGGAAGTTTTATGAATTCTAATGGCTCTAAACACAGTCAACACTGCTTCAGTACGAAATGATTTGTATTAGAGGGACTCCCAGATCTTGCCAGTACTGGCCCTCATCTTCTACAAATGCCAACGTATCCCAAAATGTGGTAAACATAAGACTTTGAAAGAGCAGGGAAGAATGAAGGAGCAGTGAATGCTCTTGCAGCTCTGTGGTGGATAGAAATGTGTCCTTTGATTGCTCCTGCATGTTGTCAGCTGCTGCTGAAGCATTCTCTGCCTCTGGGGAATGATGTGCTTATCTGCGGTGCTAAAAACCTTCTGAGACTAGGAGGAATGGTGATCCTCTTTCTGTTTGTTGAAGATGAAAATGTGCCTTTTCATATCATGTTTGAAATGTCTGTCCATTGTGTTGTAGCCCAGTGTGAGTGGAATGGACCCTCCTTTCGGGGATGCCTTTCGGAGCCACCTGTTTTCAGAGCAGACTCTGATGAGCACGGATCTCCTGGCGAGCAGCTCGGATCCAGACTTCATGTATGAACTGGTAGGTCACCTGTGTGTGCCCAGAATTTCATGTCCTCACCAGTTCCTGTAGGAATAAAGGGGTGTTGGTTCAAGAATGCTGGAAAATTATTCATTATTGCTGGCTGCTGGTTAGGGAAGAGCTGGACTGCTTGTCCAGCAAGTGTGATGCTTCTTCAGCAGGCACTTCTTCAAACAGGCTCAAATCCACCTTGCACTCGTGTTCCAAGCCCTGTCCAACCTGGCCTTGGACACTTCCAGGGATCCAGAGGCAGCCACAGCTTCTCTGGGCACCCTGTGCCAGGGCCTGCCCACCCTCACAGGGAATATTCTGCTTCACCCAAGTTGTGAATGCAGGGGGAAGGAAAATAAAAGTTGGCTCACAAGCTACTTGTATGAGCATTCCCTTTTTCATTTTCTCCCTGCATCAAAGGAGAAAGGTCATTAATTGGTCATGTTAGAATGAGGTTTTCCAGGAACTGATAAACTCAAGTGTATTCTGTTACGCACACAGCAAAGATTGACCTAGATTATAGAGATGCTTGTGATGTCTTTCATATTTTAAATACATGGATATTGGTACTGGTTTAGTTCCTGATGAGGAGATGGATTTGCAATAGCAAAAAAATACAGTGTTATAGGAAGAGCAGTGTCTTCAGAAAGACCTGTCGCTGAAGCACAGGAGCTGAACTTCATTCTGACCTTCAAAAGAAGCTTTTAGTTGAAAGCTGAAGTCTCTTCCTCTGTCACCACTCTCCCATACTTCACTGGAATTGAGCTCTCCTTACCAGGTTAAGGAGAGGAAAGAGATGGTGATACTTTATTTGTATTAACTTTTAACTTACCTTATTGTGCACAGGACAGAGAA